CACACACACACACACACACACACACACACACACACACACCAAAATGGGCTGAAGTAACCCAAACAAAGTTATTTATCTGCACATGAAATAAAAATTTAGGATTTCTAATAATGACATAGTATATACACTTGTTTTCATCCTATTACCTTTATTACAGACTTCAAAGTAAAAGTGGCACCCCAAAATACTGAAAATTTACAGGACTTACCAGGGTATGATAGTATATAAATGTACTCCCAGCTATTTGGGAGGCTGAGGCAAGAGGATCATTTGAGTCCAAGAGTTTTAGATTAGCCTGGGCAATACAATAAAGACCCATCTTAAAAAGTTTCTTTTCTTACAAGATTTTCTAGATTCAGCACCAAATTATATCTCTATTATTTAAAAAAAGCCAAAAAGGCAAGTCCATTGTATAATTACAATCCTTTTGTTTGTTTGGTTTTTCAAGACAGGGTTTCTCGGTGTTGCCCTATCTGTCCTGGGCTTTGTAGATCAGTCAGGCCTTGAATTCAGAGAGAGCCATCTGCCGTTGCCTCCTGAGTGCTGGGGCATGCACCAGTATCACCTGGCTAATTAAAGTGTTTTTTTTTTTTTTAAAATATTTATTTATTTATATGTGCACAATATTCTGTCTGTGTGTATGCCTGCAGGACAGAAGAGGGCACCAGACCCCATTACAGATGGTTGTGAGCCACCATGTGGTTGCTGGGAATTGAACTCAGGACCTTTGGAAGAGCAGGCAATGCTCTTAACCTCTGAGCCATCTCTCCAGACCCTAATTAAAGTGTTTTTAAACAGAAGCTTTCTTTTCTTTTCTTTTTTTTCAGTGTTGGGATTGAATCAGGGTCTCATTTTTCTGTTGTATTTTTAAAGATTTAGCCAGGTGGTGATGGTGCATGCATTTAATCCCAGCACTCAGGAGGCAGAGTCAGGCGGATCTCTGAGTTTGAGACCAGCCTGGTCTACAGAGTGAGTTCCAGGACATCCAGGGTTATACAGAGAAACCTTGAAACAAACAAACAATAAGATTTAGATTTAATTTACATGAGTATATGAATATATTAGATCCTCCAGAGTTGGAGTTACAGGTGTTTGTGAACCACTATGTGGGTGATGGGAATCCAACTCAAGCCCTCCATAAGAGAAGGACATACTCTTAACTCCTGAACCATCTCTCCAGCCGTTAAACTAGGGTCTCAAGAATGCTAGGCAAGCACTGAGACACAGAGCTACATCTCAGGGCTTTTATTTTTTGAGACAGATTCTCAAAAAGTTGCTTAGGTTGTCCTTGAACTTGTGATTCTCTTTCCTTAGTTTACCAGATGGCTGAGACTGCAGGTACATTTAAGCATACAGGGCTCTTGAATAGATGCTATCTTATAATTGTTTCAAAAGTCCACACAACTCCATTTAGCTGGGCCTCTGTCACAGTGGTGTCTGGGGGACTGTTGCCTTAACGACACTGACTCATTCTCAGGAGGCAGTTCAGCTCTATTAATGACTGCTTGTACCACATTCCACAGAGAGGTTTTAGCAAGAATATTTTTCCCCAAGTTCTTCATGAGGGCAATGAGGCCTCAGGAGAAACAGTCTCAATAGGCCGATAGGAATAAGGGGACTGAAAAGTGTATCATCTGTCTTTTTACACAGGAATGCAGACAGCACAATGTTAAGTAGCCATTTTTTTAAAAGTACATGTAGTGGATTTAGAATTCAGCTGTGTCACATCAGACTGTTGGGAAGCAGATCATGAACACAATCCAAAAATAACAGCCATTAAAAACCTAGCAACCAAAACATGTTTATGTATCCATTGAAAGCCTGGTGGTTTTGATTATATAGTGGAGGGTATAATCTACTAGTCTATTTTAGGCAAATTTTCCTTTCACCTTCCTTTAATATTAAATGCATAGTGATTTCTAAGTTTAAAGATGCACATGGTATAGAGTCTGCACGAGAAATAGGCACAGAACAAAGTAGAATGCCAATAGTTCTCTTTGATTGCTTCTATCCCCCCTAGAGCTGAAGACTGAACCCAGAGTTTTGCACAAATTTATGCACATTTAGCTTTACCAAGCTAAATTTCCAACCCCACAATTTAAAAAAAAGTTGGTTTTTTTTTTTTTTACCTTCTATGTATGAATGATTCATCTGCATGTATGCTTGCACTCTGTGTGAATGCAGTTCCCATGGAGGTCAGAAGAGGGTGTTGGATCCCCTGCAACTGGAGTTCCACATTGTTTGTGAGCTGTCATATAGGTACTCAGAATCAAACCTGGGTCCTCTGCAAGACCAACAGTGCTCTTAACTTCTGAGCCAACCCTTTCTCTTTACCACTGTTTTGAGACTTCTTTAATGATAGGTCCTACATCATGCCGTCCAAAGATTATCACGGTTTCTTCCTGGGATTTACATAGCCTTTTTTGTTTGGAACCAATATTTTGAGTCAATAAAAGTAGATTACAAGTAACTTAAAGGTCTCTGAGTAGTTCCCAAGCAAAGCTGTTCTCAAGATTTAAGGGCATTCAATGGCATGCCAAATGGTAATTGGCTTTACTAAATTTGCATCTTCTGCCACATTTTCTCTATTTCACATAGCATGAGGTGATCACATGTATCTGCCGATTTCTATTCCAGAGCTGTATGTTACCACATCACAGAAGAAATCTAAACAAAGGACTAAAAATAACTGGAGAACTACAATCTTACCCAAATGAACAGTTTCGGATATGCAAAGGGGTGAAAGGATGAGTCACATCGCCACCAAACTCTTAAGATGGAACTTCCTAACCATGTCAGCCAGGCAGTGCTGGCACATGCCTTTAGTCCCAGCACTCAGGAGACAAAGGCAGGTGGATTTCTGGGAGTTTTAGGCCAGCCTGTTCTACAGAGTGAGTTCCAGGACAGGCTTAAAAAAAAAAAAAAAAAGGTGACGATGTTTTCAAGTTCCAAGTTCTATATTTAACTTCCCACTAGGGGAGCAAAGTTGTCCAAATCTAAAGACTTCACAGTGGATCACAGACACCAACACACAATTTGGAAATGGAAGAAAGGCTCACAGAGAAACCAAAGTAAAAACTCCATACTACTTCCCTTTTCTAGTACTAAATTTTAAAACTCTGTCTCTCTCTGTTTTTTTTTTTTTTTTGAGACAGGGTTTTCGTTGTGTAACTCTGTCTTGAAACTCCCTCTGCTAGCCTCGAACTCAGAGATCTGCCTGCTTCAGCCTTTCAAGAGCTGGGAATAAATGAATGGCCACAATGCCAGGCATTTTAAAGCTTTATAAATTTTTATGTATTATACACAATACTTATGCTTACATACATAGCTGGTGCACACTTGTCAAGAGTGCACATGTGGAGGTCAGAGTCTACTCTCTCTTTTCACCCTTCCACTATGTGATCCAATATAAAATTCAGGTTGTCAGGCTTGTTCAGTAAGTACTTTTACCATTTCAACCATCTTGGCCACATCCTGAAAAGATCACTATTTCTCTGCTTCTGGGTGTTGTTATTAAAAGTGTGCACCCTCATGTGTGGCTCACAAAAAAATTTTTTTTGTTTGTTTGTGAGGCAAGGTCTCATGTAGCATGAGCTGACCAGGAATGGTGGCATATATCTTTAAAGTAGATCTTTGTGAATTTGAGGCCAGTCTGGTCTACACAGAGAGTCCCGAGGCAGCCAGGGCTACCCAGTGAGATCTTGTCTTTAAAAGAAAAAAAAAGTCACATATTAGGAAAATAAACTCACCCAAAATTCAGATTTTTCAAACAGTACAGGGTACTACTATGTATCGCCTGTAGGAGTCACAACAAACAGCATTATGAAATTCACACACATAAAATTGGAGGGGTCATTTTACATTTTCTACTTTAATAAAGCTATTTGAAAATGGAAACACATCTATATATGTTAAATTTTTTTTAACAAGAAAGAAAATACACTCTAAGATACTTAATACTTCAAAATACAAAGGTTTGGTTCAAGTGTTTACCAGAAATTTTCAGCATTTATTGAAATCTGGAATCTTCTATTTCTTGCCCTATCACCATCTCAGCTACCTCTCAAATTCCAATTCCTAGAAATGTTTAGGACTTAGCTCTTTATTTAAAAAAAATTTACAGTGCATAATGGAACTAGTCTGTGGTCTCATATACCACCAGTGAGTGTCACTGGACAGTTACATGACATATTCCTAACAAAATATAGTTGAGATTCTATAAAATAAAGGCAAATAAAATGTTTATGCACTTTTTTTCATCATTTGTAGCATTAGAAAAAGATCTAGGGAAAAGTTAATATGCAAAGTGGAAAACAAGGCAATTCCAATAGAATGACTTTATTAAAAAGTATATGAGACACATCTGACATATAATGCACACACATGCAAACAATAATGTGGGAACTGACATATAGAAAAACACATGTCATGGTATCAGACAGGTGAAATGTCTGTAGAACACTACTGGATGGATCTCAAGTGCTGTGTTGGATTTGTCTGTACCAGACTGTGTAGTACCTGCCTAAGCTGTTAACTCGATTTTTCTGAATCAACAATCAAAAGAAATGTTGCTTTTTCATATGTAAGAAATCCACAGAGACTTGGAAATTGGAGGCTTACAATAACAGGAATATTCTTAGCTGACTCACTAAATATGTTAAGCAGACTTTTATATGCCTGAAGGTCAAGAAGATATTTCTAAACTTGCTTTGTGTTTAGATGGCAGCTTTAGAAAGGAAGGGTGAGTAACGTGCGCTCTTCAACACTGTGTGGGAAAACAAACGTCAGTACAATAACAAGATGGAAGAAAGCAAGGCAGATTTCATTACGGTGGAGTGCCTACACTTCCTCATAACTTGGATTTACACACTGCAAATCCTCTGATCTGATTACCTCCAGTGATCACGTAAAATACCAGCTTTAAACTCTTTGCCTTAGTGATAAAACAGCCACTTTGATTCACAACAAGACATTCACAATAAAGTATATTGTAAACGTACCTGTCCACAGCCCGGGGCATTGCACACAAACGGTCTGTCGTCTCCCATATTTCATAAAGCAGAGCAGGGCTGAGGGGGCCAAGAAGTAAGGGGAAAAGTTATGTTAAATACGCTGGAGAAAAAAATGAGCTTCAAAAATATCAAGACTAGAAACAGGTGTCCCAAGAATGCCATCTATCAAAGCTGTAAACACAGGCTACTTTGGGGAGACTCATTAGACAGGTGGCATATGATCTACTGTGCCTCAATTGAAACTTTCAATTAGGAAAATTCAGACCTAAATAGTCCAGAATTTTAAGACTTGCTGGGTTTTCCTTCTTTCTGCTACAGCATGTAACACATTTCTCCAGTCTACTGAATTACAACCAGTGCAGCTCTCTATGTCAATAAATTAACCCAACGCTCGATGCGGAAGCCATATTTCTGAACTGGAGAAGACCAAAATTTGTCATTTAATTAATTAAGGGATTATAGGAGGGGTGCTCCATTTTACAGGGCTATAATTTGGCTCCCCGGTGTATAAACTATGAGACTTTTGGCAAGGGTCGTTTATCCCAGATTATTGCCAAAGAAAACAAAGCACCCATCCTATTGGACTACATGGGAAATTATTTTCATTAATAAAAAAATAAAAATAAAAACTTCCCCTCCCCACTGGGAGCCTCCTCCTCCCCCCACCAATTGTCTGTGGCAAATGAAGAAATATCAGTGCCCTTCCCCCCTCTGATTCTATTTATGGCTAGGTTTTTAAAAGCAGCAATAAAACAAATGTCGACTCTTTGGGGGTTTACTGGGTGAATATGTTCCGGCTGTTTGTGCTGCTCTCGGCCAGAGTTCTTGGGCTGCTCCATTGCAGCCAACAGATGTGTGCTGCTGCAGGGTATCAAAGAAATGCACTTAAAGGCACTACCATCAATCCCCTCTATTTCTCTGAAGAATTTAACAGAATTTATATTGCTTTTTTAAATGACTAAAGCTAATCTCTTGAAATGTTTATCAAAATTCTTTGTCAAACAACAAATGCAATCTGAATGTGCCAGGATTTCTCATATTCCAACTAAGAACAAAAACCAGGCAGAGATCAATAATGACTAGAAATGCAAATCACAGCAAAAAATATCCCTAAAAGATAAACAATATTTTGGAAGAGTCAAAGAGAAAACTGGGAGGAAGAATAATAGCAGTCTTATAGAACAAGGTTCTAAGGACAATTTTCACACAATTATCCACAACACAGAACAATACATAAAAGGATGTGAACAAGGGAAGATGGGTGAGGGACGATTGTTGAACTATGTCTGGAAATAACATCAGAACTGTAACCAAATCTCAAATTTCATTTTGGAGATAACCCAAAATGTCAGGTCAACTTCAGTCAGGCCTGCATTAAAATAAAATGCTAAAATGCTAGAATGAATGTAGTAACAGAAAACCAGGCTTAACAGAGAGGGCAATGAGGTACTATCTCTCCTATTCTCTTAGGATTTACTTTTGGGTTAGAAACCAGTATTTCTGGTTGTCTAATCAGTAATTTCACAACTAATCGGTGTTTAAAAGTGTGAGGTGCCCCATAAAATAGAAGGGGCTGCTTGGTCATCTTTCAGTGTGACAGGAACATGGTCTAACTATGAAGGAAACTGATGTTCAGTCCTGCTGGAATGGAACAGACTCTGTATATACATACGTATACACAGATTTATATCACATTTAGCCAGGATAAATTGCTTCAATAAATTCTGCTCCTAGGAGAGGCCAGCTCAAGTCGATGATTGGGTACTAGGAAATGAGAGCTCCATTCTTCCTCACACAGCCCTAGGACAACAAGGTTTTTTGGTTTGTTTGTTTGCTTGTTTTAAATACATTTTTAAAAAACAAATAAATTATTTTTAGCACTTTCTGGAACTGTAACACAGTATCAAAAAATAAGTAAATATAAGGAAATAAATATAGAAACTGTGGTCATTATGGCTGAAAACGCAGATGATCTCTGGAAAGCAAATCATTCCTCTGTGGGAATCGTTATTGCTGTGCTGTACATAATTTCACTCCTAGCAAGGTAGAAGTGGATAGAAGACTGAGTCCTTACTTGTATATTGGTTCTGGCATTTGAGGCTAGATTGTCTCCTTTACTGACTATTAGAAGGAAGTGTTCTTTCTGGTAAGGAAGGGGAGTAGGAAGTGATTACATAAATTCTGGAACAATTTTCCTCAAGCCACAAATTTAAAACCTTCAAAAAATGATGATGATTATAATTTGGAATCTTTATTATGAATAATATGAAAATAAAATTTTGCCTTGCTAAAAAAGAAAAAAAAAAGACTTTGGGAGAAAAAGCATTTAAAATCTAACAGAAGTAAGCTTTTCTTTGGTCTTGAATGTTAAACTGGCAGTTACTAATAGGATTTCCTGCTTCTGTCCTAATTTGTAAGCCTTTGTTCTACCATTTTTACCAAACAGAGATCACAATGGGAGGAAGAAGTCTTTCATCTCCTTATTCTCAGGTCCCTTGTCATTTTCATCATTTCTACATTCAAGAAAATTTAAGTATTTAACAATGATAAGAATAATATCTCTCCCCATTTAAAAAATTCCACTGACACCTTTTTAATTTTCCCTTCGTTCTCCATCTGCTACATTACTGTGACACACAGAGAGTGCTTCTGGTTATTTCTACGTGACAAACAAAAGGCAACACATTTCTGCCATATAAACAGATGGAGACAAAAAGAGAACTCTTCAATGATAATGCTGCTACTCAATGTGAACGTAACTCACAGCTCATCTGTAATTCCACTGTCTGACAAGCAGACCGTGTGTCTAGGCATGATATTCACAATGTATTTATTGTCTCCTTCCTGATCTATCTTTTAGGATGAAATATAAGAACTTTATAGGCCTAAACAATAAATGATGAGAGGAATATATAACTTGAAAGATACTACTAAGAGTGAGTGAGATGCTTAGGACAAGAAAACAAAGATGCATTAAAAGGTTTTCCTTAGATGTCCAGGTCTACAGGGGGAAAGGTTCATGTACTTGGAGCAACCAAAATGTGTGAACGACACAATTAGGATTTGTATAAAAGAGAAACTCATCTGAATGCTGGTAGACTAGTTAAGAAAAATCAAGGTTTAGGGTCAGTGAGATGGTTCAGCAAGAGAAGCACTTGATCTGAATTCAATCCCTAAAACCCAAGGGAGAAGGACAGAATCAACTCCTGAAACATCCTCTGACCACCATACGCATACCATGGACTCCATACTCAAATACAAATGCTAATACATTTTTTTTTAAAGTCAAGGTTTAGAGAATTAAATTTTTATAATATTTTATTTATGTGTGTGTATTTGTATGTTAGTACAGGTGTTCTCAGAGACCAGAAGTGTTAGATCCACCTATAGGTGGAGGGATGGACAGTGATGAGCTACCCAACATGGGTGCTGGGATCTTAACATACTAAAATGTTTGTCATAGTAATATTTATGACCAACAAAGAATAGGAATTAAATGCAGACAGAAAATAAATATAAATTAAGATATTACATTGCAACAGACCATATTTAAGATGTTAAGAATAAGATTTTGAAAACTATTAAATGATATAAGAAAGTAGTACTCATTAAATGTATTCTAGATTACTTTTTTCTTTGTACTATTAGTATTCTCAAGTCTATAATGATCAGAAATTGCTTTTAATAAATCAAAAATGGGCTAGCAGATAAAGGGCTTGCCATACAAGCCTGAAACTTGAGTTTGACTCCTGGAACCCATGTAAAGGTAGAAGGAGAAAACTAACTTCACAGAGTTGTTCTCAGACCTCCACATGTGTACCAGGGCATATGGGCCCCCTCAACACATATTATATATACATATAATAATGACAAGTGAAATAAAATTGCACATGAAAATATATAATGTAGTCTAATAATAAAAGAATGCTGGTATGCATGACTGAATAAAAAGTATGTCTTTGAGTAAAAAAGAAAAAAAAGCCTGTTACCTTTTAAACTATTCTAGAGCACTGAAGAGTAAAGAGTCATAAAGTTCTATGTATCAACTGGAAAGATAAGTTCAAAAAGAAACATGAAAAAAGTCTAAAATCAAAAATAAACAAATAAATAAATAAATTTGTAAAATTATAGACTACCAGTTTCCTAAAGAAAACAGCCAATCAGTTCCAGTCAGCTCTTCCCTTTATTACCCATTTTCGGAATCCCTGGCAAGAAATATTACTTACAGTAATAATTAATTAGAAATGATTAGAAACTGTCCCTAACACGCATCTCTAAGAGACTGAGGGGTGCTAAAACTAAGCCTACCAGGTATTGTACACCATTTAGTTTAGCTTTAAACAAGCTGGAAATTTTAAAACAGGCTCTAACTCTGCACCTCCATTCCTTTATGACATTAATATAAAAAAGTATATATGCAAATAGTTCTCTGAAGAGATCACAACAGTATACTGTATTTCAGACAACAGAGAATTTTGCTGTTCGTAAACAAAGCACACAAACATTGACCAGTCTCCACAGTCTTTTTTAAAATTACACACACATGGTGCAATGCATGTGTGGAGGTCAGAGGACAACTTTTTGAAGTAGGTTCTCTCTTTCTTCCATGTCGTTCCTGAGGATGGACTCAGATTGTAGGTTTGGTGACAAGTGTCTCTACCCACTGAACCATCTTTCTAGCTCCACTCTCAACAATTTATCCTCCAAAAGGACACTCACTGATGCTCTGGTCTGCATGGTATCTAGAAAGCCGCATAAGGAAAAGATTCCAGTAAACATATATAAACTGTGAAATTGTAATGCAGGGTATGTGAACCTCAAAAAAACAAAGTACACAAGTTTTACCAGGTAGTAGATTATTCAGGAGTTGGGATCTCAGTTTATTAATTCTGGGTTAATTTTCCATTGTATTATTTAGTGTCACCATTGTTCACCATACATGATCTCACTAGTAGGTAAATCACCCAGAAGGATGATGTAAAACCACAAATACTACTACAATCTTAAGCAAATCATCCTTATTGTTTCATATCAAAGTTTTGTATTCATATGCATGT